CCCTCCGCGAAATTACAGCCTTTCGCTGGATCTTAGAGACAACGATGAACAAGACGCCGACCCTAATCTCAACAGAATTCACAGTCTAGAAGAGAATTCGGACAAATGAATAATTACAGCACAGTGATATCAGATCTAAGGGGGGGAGATGCAGCAAGCACTGGAGACTTGAAAAGGGGCTCCTGCCCAGGCTTGGGGTCAAGGGCGTGTCGGCGAGGCTGCTTGGAGGAAAAGATGTTAAGATGGAGACCTTGAAGGCAAAGACTTAGCCAGGAGTACAGAGAGTGTAAAGAATGTTCCAGACAGAGTATAAATTCAGTGCTGGCTGGAGCAGTGCCAGAGATGGAATGGAGAGAGATGTTCCTGGGAGGCAGGCAGGGCCACATCCTCAAGAGTCCTGTGGAAATGTGGAGCATTCACGCAGCTCAAAAGCTTTCTTTTTAAATTAATCGTTTATTTATTTTAAATTATTACGTTTGAGTCAGAGTCTCAGTCTGTTGCCCAGGCTAGAATGCAGCGGCATGATCATGGCTCACCACAGCCTCAATTGAACTCCTGGGCTCAAACTCCCGAGTAGCTGGGACTACAGACCCCTGCCACTGTGCCTGGCTAATTTTCAGATTTTTTTTTTTTTTTTGTAGAGACCAGTTCTCACTATTTTGCCCAGACTGGTCTCAAACTCCTGCCTCAACCTCCCATGGTGCTGGGATTACAGGTATGAACCACTGCACCCAGTCATCAAAAGCTTTCAACAACTCTCCACTGTCTACTGAATGAAGCCCCAGCTTCTAAGCCTGGCATTTGGAGTCCTCCTCAACCTACACCACCCCCCACAGAAGGGGTGCTACTTTCTGACAGGAGTTTCGTCTCCTTCGCCCAGCCCAGTACCCAACTACAGGCCTCATCGTCCTCAGGATGCAAAAGGACTCATTGTACTCACTGTTCTCTTCATACTGTAACTCATTCTGTTCCCTCCACTAGGGAACCATTAAGCGCTCTGCCCTGCCTGGCAGGCTGTCTAATCCTGTACTTCCTTCAGTGTTTCTCTAGATCAAGAGTCTTCCTCTCCATGATGCTTCCCTGGCCCCTTATGTCCTGAAAGACCTCTGCCCCACTCCCAGTTTCTGCAACATTTGTGTGTACCTGTCGCTTGGGGGCTGACATCACACTACCTTGTGCTGTCTCCTAGGTTGGTTGGAGGCTTCACTCGTCAGCAAACTGAGCTCCTTGAGGTCTGGTACTGAGTCCTACAGTGGCTCTCTCCACCCACACACCCCATGTCCTCCCAAATCACCAGTGCCCAAGGTTCCTGCTTTGGGGTGCTCTGCCCTGCCTGGTGGGCTGTCTAATCCTGTACTTACTTCAGTGTTCCTCTAGATCAAGAGACTCCCTCTCCATGACGCCTCCAACCTAGGAGATAGCACGAGGCAGTGTGATGGCAACCCCCAAGCAACAGATACACACAAATGTTGCAGAAACTGGGAGGGGGCAGAGGTCTTTCAGGACGTAAGGGACCAGGGAAGCGTCATGGAGAGGGAGAGTCTTTGGGTTCACCTGTCCTCCTGATACACCGTCACTACCACTCTCCTTCCAGGAGCCAAGATAAAGTCATCAGGAGAGAGTGATGGCAGAACCGCACTGCGGTAATTAAGCCCTGGATCTAATTAAAGCTGTGGTTGTTGGTGGTGGCCATAGAGCATCAAAAGCTTAGTGCAGATCAGAGAGTGGTCTCTTTGGCTGATAGTGCTCTACAACTGGCCAGAACATGCATGACAAATCAGAGCTCCTGGTCGTGAGAGGGACAATGGAGGTCATTTCTTCCAGTCTCCTACTCCCAGACCAGGCCACACTGGAGCCATTTGCTGCCAGCAGAGTTTAAAATTTCCCAGGGATGGGAATGCCACAGCCTCCTTTACCTTCTTTGTCACTGTTAGGATGATCTTCCTTGGGCTCAATCAGACTCTTTCCTATTGCAAAATGAAATAGTTGAGTTCAATGATACTTCTTCCTTCCTTCCTTCCTTCCTTCCTTCCTTCCTTCCTTCCTTCCTTCCTTCCTTCCTTCCTCCCTCCCTCCCTCCCTCCCTTGTTGGAGTCTCACTCTGTTGCCCAGACTTGAGTGCACTGGCCACTCCCAGCCACCGCAGCCTCGACCTGCTGGGCTCCGGCGATCCTTCCGCCTTAGCCTACCAAGTAGCTGGAATTATAGGCATGCGCTACCACGCCCGGCTGATTTTTTGATTTATTGTAGAGATGAGGTCTCGCTGCCCAGGCAGGTCTCGAACCCGTGGGCTCAGGCAATCCACTCACCGCAGCCTCCCAAAGGCACAGGATTACAGGCTGAGCCACCGAGCCCGGCGACACTTCTTTCAATCTCGTCTTTTCTGGGATAAAAATGTAAATACCTTGTTTTTTCAGCAAATGACTGATTTTCTAGCCTTTTCATTATAGATCTCATCCTCTGATTTCCCAAGTTTCCCTTCAAGTAGCTACCATCCCAACTCTGGCCTTTATCTTGTTACTAAATTGCTTTAAGTTGGAATTTGGGTGAACAGCTTTGGACTTCCTGTTCTCCCACTACCTCACCACTTTTTAAATCAAGATAGAATAGACATACAATAAAGTGTGTAACGTGCACTGATCTTAAATATACAGCTTAACTTTTTAAAAACATTTGCTGTAACTACCATTTAGTTCAAAATGTAGAACATTTCCAGTACTCCAAATGGTTGTCTTCTCAGTTTATAATCAATCACCCCATCCTCCAGAAGGAACCACCGTGTTTCCTTCCGTTATCAACTTGTTTTGGGGAGCAACATTTTGTAACTTTTGACAATGATATTTTATGCTCCGTGATCCATTAATGGATGATACTTGTGTCAATGCCATTCTGGTCAAAGACCACAACAAACACACCTGTAATTAAACAAGCTATACTTTTACTCATTGCAGCAAGGGAAAAAGCATGAGATGGGGAAGTATGGGGGCTCTTAGTAAGAGGGTGTAAGAAAGGACTTCATATAGAATTTGGGCTTATGCTAGATAATTTGGGGAGAATTTAAGAAAGCAGGGCTTGACTTTGAATTGATTGCTGTCAAGATCAGGGGTACTTCTATGACTGGGTATCTTAATAAAGCCTATCTAGAAGAGAAGACTAAAGCACGGATGTCACAGGTAAGAGGAAACAAACAGTCTGTCATATGAGCCAGGATAGGGGGAGTGTTGGTCTTTCTTGTGGTTTGGACAATGATCACTTTTTATCTGTGTTCAGATATGATTATGGAGTGGCTCCGTTTGTGTTGTGACCTGTCATGGTCGCAGAGTGGCCTTGTCTACTGTTGATGTTCTGTGAAATTGTTTATGTTAAACAGGAGAGGGTCGGGGCTGCTTTTCTGACATACCAACAGGTGGTGAGGTCTCTTCTGGGCTGCATGCTGGATATATAGAAATGACTTGTCTTTGTGTCCTTGGGGACTTCATGGTTAGTGGGGAAGGTGGACAAGAAAACAAATATATCCATTGTAAAGCATAATAGTGGAATTAAGGGTCTGGTCTCTGTAGACAAACTTCTGAGTTTAAACCTCAGCTCTGCCACTTACTAACTGAGAATTTGGGCAGGGACTATTTTCTAAGCCTCAGTTTCCTCATCTGTAAATTGGTATGATAATAGTATTTACATTATGGAGTTGTTGCAAGGATTACATGAGCCAAACATGGATCACGGGTGACATAAGCAGCTTGGACTTGATGGGGGGAGAGGTAGATCTAGGTTTTAGGGCTTGAAGTTTACACAATTTGGGGGACCCTCTTTAAGAAAAATAATTTTAGAATATATTACTTTTCCAAAATGTGTGACTGTGCGAACACATTGCTAGGTCTCTGTCCAGGGCCTCAGAAGGGGTTCTGAAGCTGAAATTTCATTCGCTTCTCAGTGGCTCTGTGGGAAGAAACAGAAGGGGCAAAATTCTACGATAGTTTTATTCTTTTCAAATCACTTTCTTATAGGCTCAGTGGCTCAGCCTATAATTCCAGCACTTTGGGAGGCCGAGACGAGTGGATTGCCTGAGCCCGTGGGTTTGAGACCTGCTTGGGCAATTCGGCGAGACCTCGTCTCTACAATGCATCAAAAATTAGCCTGGTGTGGTAGCGCGCCTGTAGTTCTGGCTACTTGGAAGGCTGAGACACAAGGATTGCTGGAGCCTAGCAGGTTGAGACTGGCTGGGAGCACGCCACTGCACTCCAGTCTGGGTGACAGAGTGAGACTCCAACTCTAAAAAAACAAACAAAAAAACCACACAAAAAAACCCCCAAAAATCACTATCTTCAAACAAGTGCTCCGCAAATACCCTTGTCCTTAGCTGAGACCTGCTTGAGTACACTTAACTCTTTCTTGTATTATAGCCTGGAAGCTAGTGGGCAATGCCAGTGATAGAGGAATCAACTGAGGTCTGGTTCTGAATATGGCTGCACCAATGGGGCCCAACTGGAGTCCAAATGAAGTCTCTGTAACTCTTGTTAACAAAATGCAGGCC